TTCCAGACTCCTTTTCAGTCACCTGAGATTGTGGAATTCCTCTTAGACCCAGTTTTGCTAACTTGGTACATGGTCCAGATTTACTGACCTAACACCTTTCTCAGGGCTTGTCAGAATAGCTTGCCAGAAATACGGTACATGTGTTTCAGGTCTGCGCCTGCACCAAACACATATCTCTTGGTCTGGACACAGGCCACCCCCAACTGGCTATGCACAGAAGGTTTTGCTCAGCCCAAGTGGTCTGTATGTATGTAAGTATGTGTTCATTTTTTTAAAATATAAAGCAAACTACAAAAATGGGAGCCAGTTTGGTGTGGTGGTTAAGGCACTAAGCTAGAAGCTGGGGGGTTGTGAGTTCTAGTCCTGCCTTAGGCACAGAGCCATCTGGGTGACCTTGGGGCCATCACTCTCTCTCAGCCCTGGAAAGGAAGCAACGGCAAACCGCTTCTGAAAAAATACCTTGCCAAGAAAACCACAGCAACCGGTCAACCAGGAGTCAAAACTGACTTGAAGGCACCCCCCCCCACCCCCAAACACCAACCTACAAAAAGGTAGGCTGTAATTTCAGCATTTCAAAAGGTAGCTTCTGGAACAGCACTCTGCAATTCTTGGGGGAAAACAAGAAAAACGCTATCGGTGAAGTAATCAAACCATCAGGGAAAACCCAAGAATGCTTGTTCCTGTACCTGTCATATAAATTAACTTGCAGGAATGCTTTTTAGGGCTTTGAGCTAAGTTGGATCACCAGTTTAAAAAGACATCTGTTAAGGGCTGACTCAGAATTTAGCAATGGCTGATTTAGTCAGCATTGTGACTATTTATCTTTTAGACTGAATAGATGACATGGTGCTGGAAACGTGGATCATATCTGGGGCGTGGGAGCAAGGGGGTCTTCAATACTTGGCCTCCCTCCCTCCCGAATTGGATCCGTCCCCCCCTTGGCTTTGCTACCTGTGACAGAAGGATGACTCCCACTACTGCCAAAGGGAGCCTGTAACCCGTTGCAAATCCCACGCAGAAAGGGATTTCTGCAGCTGAGACAGAGACAGCCCACCTGTGCTTCATCCCTCCGCTACACGCAGGCTGTTTATGTTGCCATCCGCAGGAAGAGGAGAGGGCAAGAAACGAAACACACATCGTGAGGTTGCAATGCACATTTCCTCATTTGTGGTGGGGAACGGATGCCCATAACTATCATGCTGCGAAGGATTGAAGGACTGACAGCTACATAGCACAAAGCTACGTGATAGTGTTCATACAACATTTGGTTAACTTGCTGACTGAATGAACCTACTTTGTGCAGAACATTAAACTGCAGACTAATGAAGCTAGCAGGGCTGGCAGAATAGTAAAACCAACGGGTGAGAAAGGGTGTGGGGGCAAACCTCCCCACTTCCAACCGTCTGGGTGACTGCATCTGCTAGATCTTTTGCTAGTCTGACTTTGCATACTCTGGGTTCACAGCCACAGGTTGACTTGGCCCTTGCTGTAGGTTTTGCCCTGGATCTTGAACTCAGCAACCTCAGAATAAACAGATTCAAAGGTCTTTCTAAGGGTACGACAGGATGACATTTATAGAGGGTCAGTTGATGAGTCCCTGGAAGGGCTAATTTTGGTCTTTGGGGAACTGTTCTTTGGGAAACGATTTATCTAATTCCAGGCTTTTTTCCAAAAATTTTAGTTTTCCTCCACATGGGTAAATCAACCATTTGGAAGGACATAAGGCTTTTCAACTTAATCTGCACCTTCCTTTGAAAAATGTTTCTCCCAGAACCTTAAGTAGCTAGGTTCACTTCTTCTCTTTTAAATTGGCATTTTTGTTACTGCTCTGGGTAACTCCTGCTAAGTGTTGGTCCCCCACAATATTTCTATAGACTAGCATTTCTCAAAGTGTTGTCAGGGGACCCCTGGGGGTCCCCGAGACCCTTTCAGGGGTCCATTAAGTCAAATAAATAAATAAATAAATAAATAAATAAATAAATAAATAAATAAATATTTTAACATTTCTCAGTTTAAATTTCTAATACAGTACATATCAATAGGTATAACCCCCATAAACCAAAGTTCTTTTGGGTCCTCAATCATTTTTAAGAATGTAAAGGGATCTGGAGACCCAAAAGTTTGAGATGACTATTCTATACAAAACTCACAAATGTATAGTCTGCCTTTCCAGACCACGTAGCCGTTCCGGCCGGCTAGCAGATCTAATCAAAACAAAGGTTAGAACCAGAACTATAATTCAACATCAACAGAAATCACAATTTTACATTAAAGCAGAAATCAACAAAAAGACTCAACCAGCAGGCAACTATATTAAAACCCATCTCAGCAGATAAAATCATTTTAAGTCTCAAACACTTGCTGGAACAAAAAGATCTCCCTCCTAGCACAAGGACAGAGAAAATACTAGCTTTGCCACCAACCATCATGGGACAAAGAGAATGGCCTCTGGCTTTCCCAAATAGCTGAAAACCCATGATGATGATGATGATGATGATGATGATGATGATGATGATGATGATGATGATGATAGCAAATGTAGTCTTTCAAGGAGTCCTTCTTAACCCACTGGTTGAAGACTTCCTTAGTCATAATCAGCCCTTTTAATTTTGCTCCAAAACAGCTCAGTAGTGAAGCTGATGGCACAAGTGAATTTGAAATTAAGAAGTGCCTTCAAATCAAGCTTGATTGCTGGTGAGTTGGGTGGACGCATCAAGGCAGATTTCTTGGCTGGATGCAATGGTGGAACCTCTTCTTCCAGCCATAACCTATCTTGCTGCCTGTAACTGCCGCAGTTAATGATCTGGATGCCACATTTGGAAGCAGAGGTCTTTTCCTAGCATTGTTGAAAGGAAGGCTCGTGCAGAGCATGTCTCAATAGGCCAACTAGGAGGTAAGAAAGCTGTGTATCCCTGCAGCCCAACCTGCCTGACATCTCCGGAACAATCACAATCCACAAACTAGTCTGAGCTACACACACCTCTCCATGTTCGCTGTCAGATTCAGGTGATCAGTTGACATATGGTCAAATACAAAGTTGAGTTTTCAACAGGAGTATGAACTGACTTCATACCGAACAAATTCCAAGTTTGTGATCTGCCTTGTGACTGACTTGGAACAATTCGGTGTTGTCTGGATTAAGGGTCAGTCTGTTTTTCCTACTCCAAGCTGTTCCCAACACTGGGCATCAGAACCTCAGCAGCCTTCCTAGCTAAGGCAGTTTGTATCCCATAAACAACCCTGAAGCCACACACTCACACACGCACGCACACACACCAGCTGCTTTGAACAGCCAGGAAAGTTATGGGAGAAGCCAGGTCTCACTTCTCCAAGGATCCTATCCATGTCCTCAGGCTGGTACATCCATTCGAAATGGACCAGAAGAAGTTGAAGCTATATTTGATGGATTTCTACCTATGATGTTACCTGGGATGCCTCTAAGTATCTTAGACTTCAATTCTCATCTGAGCCAGTCAGCTTGGCTAATGGCAAAAAAAACCTGTAACCCAAAAGAACCAAAAAGTACCAAGTTATCTGTAACTGAGTGAAGGGATTCATTTTTATTAATTTAGGTTTCTATCCTACTTTTCATTTAGGAGCTCAAGGTCATCTTGGTTGTCATCTTGACTTTCTGGATCCCCTGTGTAGATGACACTAGAATCTGACACGGCCCCCTCCCCAGCAAACAGGTGGCAAAAAATGGCTCTTCAATGATTTCATGATGTCACTTAGGGCCTCACCCACCCAAGTTGAGAAAAAAGAGTGGGATCCCCAAATGCAGAAAAGAATGCCCACCAAGGTTTAAACTACGGTTTGTCCAAACAAGCTAACATGATCCTTCATTGTGGAGGCACCTGAGGAAGGAAGGGAGGGAGGGAAGGAGGGAGGGAGGGAGGGAGGCATCTTGTCACCAAATACAGGTGAACTCCAAGCTGTTAAGGAAAGTTAAACATGTATTTCCAGGAACAATTTAGTTCATTTAAACTTTAAACATATTTTCACCCATATACTATTTATTTATTTGATTTATACGGCCACCCATCTCAAGTACATGACTCTGGGCAGCTCACAACATTAAAAACAAATAAAAATATACACAATATAAAAATAAACCAAGAAATAAAACATATAGCTGCTAGAGAATCGCAAAAAGCCCTCAGCATATCCTTTAGTGGGTAGCCACAAAGAGACAGTGTTCACAGGACACATTTCTCCAAGTCAGTTCAATGTTGCATTCGCACAACATATTAAGTCCGTGTTATGTTCATTTAGGGCTTTTAGGGGCTCAGGGTGTTGTGCAGATCCAAACCATTTTGGTTCATTGACAGTTCAGTGGACCTGAGATTGGGGGAGGCCATTTAACCCCCTGAGTTTACCTGGGTGGACCGAATTCACCTCAGAGGGTTGAGGGAGATTTATTCTCTGTTTGTGTTTAGAGTCCACAATAAGGCATCTACTGTTTACAAACTAAAATGGCTTATCCATTTGGACTGGCAAATTATTTGGGAGACGTTCCTGTGTTTGCTTTCCTCCGATCAACAATCTGAAGTCCACCAACTTTGCTGTTTGTTCTAAACAAACGAGGCTCTTCTGGTAAATTCCATCCCACCAGAGGTTAACTTGATAATTTCACAATTGTCTTTAACAATATAGTCCGGGCTGTGTGGCGGGGGTAGGGGGTGATCATTGCTAACCAAACCTCTCTCTTTTTCTCCCTCCTCCTTCCCTTCCCGTTTCCTTATCCTGAAAAATAAATAAGTTTGGGAAAATACGTAATTACCTTCATCAGCGTCTCTCGCTTCAGAGCAAAGTCCAGCAGCCATAAATTGCCAATAAAGGGAAGAGGGACTGGGCCGGGGGGTAGCTGCTTGCGTGTCCATTGCAACTGCAGAAACTGCCCAGCAAAGAACAAGATGGTGAAAAGTAGGAAAAATTCTACCAACATCCCTGATGCGACCTCTTCCCCGCAAATCTCCTGGTTTTAATTATTTGAAAGAGCGGCTATCCTTCGCATCACCTCCTTCCCCTCGCCCATTCTCTCACTCACTCTCTTTTTCGCTCCCCCCTTTTTATTGCTTAGAAATAAGCAATGGGTTGTTTTTTTTCCCCCATTTTTCCAAGCCACTCCTCCCTTGGCTATGACTTCTAGTTGCTTGGCTGTTTCTGACCAGAACTGGCTGCAACAGGTCTGCAGGACAGATGACCTCTTTCCTTGTCACCCGGTGACAACTTTTGGACCCTGAAAGATCTGGATCAAGGCCACTCCAAGGCATTTAAGGGCACTGGGGGCATTGCCCTAAAAACACATGCCTGCATAGAAGTGCCAATCCAGACCAAAGTGTAAAATGTTCCCCTTACAATTCGATCAATGATCATTATACTCTTCTGCATTTCCGCATTAGTTTTTAATCAAGACATTTGTTAGAAATGCTGCGCTACATCGGTTGGATATCTAGAATGATGCCTACAAAAACAGTGAGGTGACCGATAGATTAGTAACACTGTTGTATTAATAATGCAATTACAGTAATAATGGACCCCTGCAAAGCTGGAGGGAGGGAATTGTTGGGGTGAGATTTCTGTAAGGCACCAGGTTAGGAAAGTTTTATATGAAGAATTGGGTAAGAATTCTGCCCTGGTTTTCTTTTAAAGCAAAAATGTGATACGGCCTTGAGTACAACATGGACAAAAAGCAGGTAGGTAATCTATCAGAAAGGGTTGTTTTCACCTCAGATAATTCATATAATGCTGTGCATTTGGCGGAAAGATGTGAAAAAACAGTGCATATTTGAGAAAGCAGCACGCACAATAATGCCTGTTACTAGACAACCTGTGACCCATTGGGTCATCATTTCAGAGATATTTCCTTATCTAAACAGAGAAACAGAATGACCAAGGGCAAAAAAGCAGTGGGAGTAGGAATGACTTACGACTTGCTCCTGGCTTCCCTATTAACTTTGCTTGTGGGAAGCTGGTATGGGGCGGCAGAAATCTTCCTTCCTTCCTTCCTTCCTTCCTTCCTTCC